ATCGCCCAGCCCTAAGTGCTATCAGGAAACTGACTGATGTCTATGTTGATCAGATGATACCATGAATCATCAGTTACCATCACCTCTGGACACAAACGCTTGTGTTGGACTGCCAGCCTCCTTGCTGATTGTTGTAGAACATTCAGGATCTTTACCTGTTTTGCCTTTGCGGTTGGCAGCAAGCTTATTTCGTCTGTACACCTGTGCAATATATGTTAGGGCGTGCTCACACTAGGCACGGTTGCCTCATTCGAAGTTTGAGCATGAATGTCCCTCCTCACTGCCTGCCGTGCTTACACTGTCCTTAACAATCTGAGCCTGAGTACGCATCAGTTTGTCTCAGCATCTCAGCTCTTCTCATTCTCTTTCACACACATGCATGCCTTCCTGTAGAGGAAAAGCAGGACTTTTTTATGGCATTCTCTAGGACAGTGTTGGCACACTGTCCATGGGCATATTTGTCATTTACTTGAATTGATAAATAATCAAACTGAACTAAGCATTTTTTTAAATCCGAGACATCAGTCGCACTAGCCAAAAGAATTGGATTGAGCACCTCCTTTGAGTTTTATTATTATGCTTTTATACGTCTCTTTAATATAGTACAGTGTAAACATTGCTACTTAGCCATGGAACTCCAATTATTTTTATGATAGCTCCCAAACCTATAATTAAAATGTAGTTACACATAATGCAGTTAAAAACTGTTTAAACTCCTGCTTAGACTACTTGTCCGCTAAGAAGCTTTGCTCCGAGGCAACCCCAATTTCTGCTTTTCCTAAATGAGATCAGTGTCATATGTTTCAACTGAAGTTGCTGTGGAAATGATGCCTTCAGGGGATGTTGTTTACACTGTAGGTTGTTGGTGTAGCTTAGATGTCCATTTCAGTGGGATGATTTGTTTGGATGTGCTCAGCCTTCCTGTCTTAGCAGGTTGAGTTCAGTGTTTGGTAAAACCATTGAATTTGGAAATAAAATCTTTATCTAGATTAACTCTGAAACATTTTTGTAGTGATTTGTTAAATGTGTTTACTGGACTGCTCTCAATTATTTCATTTTAAATAAAAAAACTAAAGATTTCCAATTCTCCAATGGTGGTTGCAGTACCTTAAATTTCTCAATCATTCCTTTTATGCTGATATTGCTGAACATAATATACACTAGTCACAAATTAATTTTATGTTGTTGTCATATGAATCTTGTCTCTTGAATCTTAGTTCAGCTTAGCTGAAATTGTGTTTTCATCTTGTTAGACTTCTTCTTTTTTTGTCTATCCCACTTCCCAGATTGTGACATTTCGTTATTTCTTTCCAATTAAAAAGAGCATGAGGTAGAGATTTATTCATCATCTGTTTGTTTAGACTTTTATTTTTTTTACTATGGGCACAAGTCTCTTTGAAAATGACTAGGAAATTATAGTGTTGACACAAGTTTATCAATAAAATGGTGCCATTCCAAGAAAAATTAGACAACCTAATGTAGACGCAGTTTTATAGCAAGAGCATTGTTTCAACATTGCACATTCATGCCACACATGAAGTCATTCTCTGCAGCAGATGCTTCAGCATCAAGAGTTTTTAAACCTCTCCTTTCTGTGTATGCAAGTGCACACCATGTTCAGGTTTTATCCTTCTTTCTCCTCTCAGCATGTATCTCTCTGCTTGGTTGCTAACTCTGACATTATCTTAGACTGTAAGCAACCTAATCATCTGTTCGTTTCGCTGCCACCCCTGCAGCTCACCCATCAAAGGCTGTTTACTTCTGTGCACGGCACATCTGAGAACATGATGAGCAGTTATTACCACAGCTATACTGAAGCCTCTGATAAAACCTCCCAGCCGATTAACACGGGTCTCATGACTCAAAACCTGTTTCTTCAGAAGAAGTCACATGGATATTTATTTTATATATTCTTTTTGTTTTATTGTTTTTTTTTTCTTGTCATTGGCAGTAAAAGACATAAAAGGTAGATTCAAAAATACTCTCACATCTGGCAGTGATTATTATGAAATCTCATCAACCTTTTGATGCTTCACATAATTGAGCCTTCCGTGTAACAACAGTGGAGCTTCTGTTTATTTGTATGTTTTAAAAAATGCCATCGGTGACAGATTTTACTGGGATATTTCAGTTTGCCGTGTATGTATGACTTGTTTTTGGTGTGATGTGGATATTATGGGTGTTTTGTATTCTCTGTGATGTGATAATGTGCATGTGGGTGTTTGCGATGGACCGAGGGATCAGACAGAGAGTGATGCCCTTAGTTTTGTCTGGCGGTGACATTTTGCTGCTATTGTATGTTTTGTACTTAGTAGCTTTTATTTAAAGATATTGTGTGTTTTCAAAGTGAAACCCAGTAGAAGTTACATAAATGTAACAAAATACATAAATGTAATTTAACATAACATTTATTTACATACATTTATATAAATATAATGTTGCATAAATTAAATAAATGTTCTATTTTTTTCTTTCATGTGAAAGCCTCTTTTGACTTGTAATTTCACCTTCAGTCTAATCAACACCTTTGCGAATCAAGTTGAATGCAGTCAAATTGAAGTGCAAATTAATGAGTCGTTTCATTGTTGAAGTGATTAGTCACACATTGTGTATACCACAATCATGATTCCACACTAAGAACACCATGGACTTTATATTGTTTATGCAACAATAACTTACTTGTATCCATGGTTTTGATTAAAAAAGAATGACAACTATTGACTATAGCCATTTTTTAAATTAAATCTGAGATATTTGCTTGTATGAGTGTCAGAAAGAAATTAAGTGATGTGTGTGTTTGCTTTGTACCAGTTGAATTTCTATTTTGTTACTCTGAATTTATTCAGTTTGCAACAATGACTTCAGAAGCACTCCCATTTTAGACCCCTGCCAAGAACAATTATACACACCTCGGTATTTTTCTCAAATAACTGATTTCCAATTAAATGTAAAAGTTTCTTCTTTTGCCTGTGTGCCACCTGTCCTCATCTCTTCTCTATAGAATTATAAAATACTGGCTCGTCTGGTGTTTGCCTCCAAAAAGCCCATTTTTAAGGTTTCATCATGAAAACAGCCTGCAGCTCATCTTGGCTTCACCCTGGTTCTTATCTTTCTTATACAGGGAGTTAGCTCTTATCTTGAACTTGACACATGTCACACAATGTTTCTCCTTTTTTTTTTCTTTTTTTTTAACGATCTGGCACTCCTTGGCAATGTTTCAGAATATAAGGAATCATCTTCTGGAAAACATACTAAATATGGTCAGGCAATTCAGTGTACCCATTTAGCTTTTGATTTTAGTTATGTGCAAATCTGGTAAATGACACAGAATCAGACCTCTGAAGGTGCATCATCATCAAGTTTATCCAAAGGTGCGGCACACACTTTCACAAATCCTTCTTTTTCATCTTTTTCAAGATAAATCAAATTTACCTGGTACAGATTGCTATCTGAATGTAGACAATAAATATATATATGCATTTTTAATTTAAGTAAAACAGTTCTGCTTTTTGTTATTTTCATGATAAACCAGGTTTTAGCCCAATAATCAAGCATTACCAGAGGCCTGTACTGTGAAACAGGAATTTATTTAACCCTTATTTAACCAGGAAGTCAACTCTTAACTTTAGTCTTAGATGGGTTTGAACCCTCTTAAGAGCGCTGGTTTATTGGTTAGCAGGTAACTTCAGAGTTAACACGAAGTTTTCAGTGCTACATAGGTGGTTTTTGCTTGGGTACATGGTAAATTATGCTGAGGACCAAACCTTAATATATGGAGCAGGTTATGTTCAAGTGATCAACAGGTATGAAATCAGTCTGCTGAATAATTAGTTATCTGAAAATAACACAACATTGCTAGAAGATCCCTTCTGAATCCTTTGTGTTTCCTTCATGAATATCAGTAAGAAAAAAAGATGGTTTTGGAATCAATTTTATTCCTGCTATTTTTAGTTTTGGCTGAAAGCAATTTTTAATTTTTAATTTTTACTTAACTTTAAAGCTGATTAGGTGTTGTCGTAACCACAACCGGTGGGTGGGTGTTCAGGCAGTGTGGACACCTACGTTTGTGAATGCAAGAATGAGGCAATTTAGGATTTTTGAAAATGAAACCATAGGCACAATTGCGAAAAATCTCAGATAAAATTGAATCTCAGTGATCTCAAACCAAAGGTTAAAGATTAGAGGTCAAGTTTTATGAAAATCTTGTGAATGCAATAAATTAAGAAGTCACTTCAGATTTTCAAATCGATATCATATGTGTAAATGTGTCTTAAAAGTTTGAATCCCAGTTACCTCAAGGTCAAAGGCCAGGTTTTCTGAAAATGTTGTGATCATAATAAATTGAAAAAGGAGTCACCTAAAGTTTTCAATATGATAACTACGGTCGAATCTACTAAGACACAGACACTGCATGCTCTTTGTTATTCATTTAAGTTGTGGTCCCACAGAAGGATATTCATTTAGGTGCCAAAAAAGAAGCTGCTATACTAAGTCTGTGAAGAAGATAGTCCAGAGTGACAAGTTGCTACCATGTGAGCATGCAGTAACCTTCATTCCTCCAGTCAGATCAAGTCTCCACTTGTCACATCCAGTTTCAAGACTATGAAGTGATGATGGCTAAAATATTCATGTTCAGGCTTCAGGACAGAATGTGTGACACCATGGTGCCAACAACCATTTTTATTTAATTTTTTTCATTTTTTAATGTACTGTCTATCATCCGTCTTCTAGCTTTAGCTGTGTTGCTTTTAAGTTGGGCTGCTGCATAACTCAAATGGGTTCCCAGAAGAAGCTGGGAGGTGGTGCTGTGGTATTATCTGAACTGTGAACTCGGAGAATCTTTAACACCCCTATGCCATTGTGACTAAATATTGGAAATAAAAACAGGGTTAGAGACTCAAACACAAATGCATTAAGTGTTTTGTGATAATTTTTGTCATTAGAATATTGTCTAATAATCTGTTCTTCTATGTTGTACTGTTTGTTTGTTTTTTTTAAAGGTGGAGCAGATCGTGGATAAGAGGCGGAATAAGAAGGGTAAGTGGGAGTATCTAATTAGGTGGAAAGGCTATGGAAGTAAAGAGGACACCTGGGAGCCAGAACACCATCTACTACACTGTGAAGAATTTATTGATCAGTTCAATAGCTCAAGACTGCACTCACACAAACGGCCCAAAGTTTCCAAAAACCGTGGAGAGCCCTTCATTCCTAGCCACCTTTCTGCAACAGATGACTCAAGAGCTAGATCTGAAGCTCGAAAAAAGAAAAGGACTAGTGGCTCAACTGTGGGGGTGAGAGTAGGGACTGTTCTAGGGATTGGAAGTGGAGGATCAGGAACCACTCAAAAGCAGAAAAAAGTGGGTGTAGGACCTGGAAAACATGCTTTAGGGGACAGAATGAGCAAAGCGATGACATTTAAAGCTCCTCCACCAGGCGGACCTCCGTTTGTCCCGTCATTGAGGGTTCCTCATAATGGACTACAGAACGGAGAGATGGACTCTCTCATGTACAGGACTGCAGCAAGGTCACAGCGACTGCCCTCAGACAGGGTGGATGGAGAACTAGGACATATGGAAGCCAGCGGACAGCAGTTTACTACTGAACTAGGTAAGTTGTTAAGAAAAAGCAGATAGTATGGTAAACTGTATGAGGTGATGCTGGATTTTTGAGGCACATATTGTTATAGAAATATGATTGTTGTTCTTATGCATGCCCGCTCAAACCCGTGCTCCTAAATCTTGTTTTTAAAACTTAATATTGGTACAGTAAGTATTTTATTTATGTGTGTGTGTGTGTGAATCCACATGGTAGGATTTGTAAAGAATTTATTCGTAAAT